AGTGTCGCGCACACTCATGGAACTCAGGTGTTTGCAATTTCGCGGTATTATTATTAGGTGAACGATTGGTAAATTTACTGTGTATAAAGTTCTCGTCGAAAAGAGCGTCCGTTTTCTTCTTTTTTCTCCTTCGAACTATAAAGACTTCGGCTAAAAAATCGCCCTGGTAAAATTATTGTTACCCGGAAGTAGGAAATTGGCCAGCAATTTGGCAGTGGTTTAGTCGAGTTTGGTCTGCGGAATGGCAGTGTCGTGGTAGTGTTTGGAACTCGTGGAAACACGGTACGTGTAAAAACGCGCGCGAAAGACCGCTAAACCACGTTATTTTTACTTTCAAATCAGTCTGATTTGGGGGGGGGGGAACGTACGGAATTTATCGCGGCTTGCGCAGCCTCGCCACGTTCTTTTTTCCTTTTTTTTTTTTTGTTCTTTTGATTTTAACGTTAACGAGATACGCAGATATACTTCTACTTTTTCTTTTTCGAACATTACCGGAAAGACCTCGAAATTACTTTATTTCGATGACGGTAAAAGTTCAATTCCGCGATCCGCGTGAAAAACAGGTCCTCCAGATCGCTCGGTGAAATACACGGAAAGAACGTCAACGTACAAAACGTATTCCGCACACGCGTTTAACCCATTAAGGATCACAATGTTACGAAGATTACTTTGAATTTGGCAAAAGAGGGCTCGATTCATTGGAAATGATACCACGTATCAATACTTTTTATAATTATTGTTCGCAACAATAAATCCACGAAATGTGATATTTCAACAAGCTAAGAGCATAACTAATTCTATGATAAGCAACAAAGTATGTTCAATTGAAAAGACTCTATAATATATGTACATACATATATAATAAATTACCTAAGGATCGAATAACTTTTTAATTAAAATTTTTCGTCTGCAAAAGACAAAAGATATAACTCATCACTTTTTTCTGCCCTCGGTGATGGCTTCAGTCGGCCTTTAATGAGTTAACCAGCGTTCGATGATCGCTTAATTAGAAAATAATGACCGTACGATCCGACGTACGATACGCGAATTCGCGACGGTCGAAGTGCGCGACATTCGAAGAGAGATGTTAATGTGTTGATGTGGATTGACGAACGATATTCGATCGGCGTCGAAACAGACGTCTGTTCGACGTTTCGAAACTAGCGAATTAGCGTTTCGTCGGCACGGCGAAAAATTTACAGAGCGGGAGAGGAGCGCGCGGTCCGCCCGCACGCGGAAATTAATGCCTTACTATAGAAGACTTAGGATTTAATAACGGACTTAAAGTAATCAACGGTGTTTAGACGTACGTATAAACTTTACAATGCAACAGAGCCCAACCTCTCCGACGTGTCCGTCTCTGCAGACGGACGAACGCCTTCTCATTGTCGCCTTTTTTTGTTTTTTCTTTCTTTTTCAAAACGATATCCGTGAGACACGGTTCTACGGTGAAGCTCGCCACGTAAAACCGCGCCGGATCGGCACTCTCTTTCGTGTTTCTTTCACTCTTCAACTTTTAATAACTCTCGTCCCGATTCTAATACCACGCGCACGTAACTGGACACAGGCGAGCACGGATCGAGAACGGGGAGAACGACGTCCGGCGATCCGTTTGGTTAATTAAATTAGATCGAACAAATGAGCTCGTGAACAATCGCGATCGAACGGAGAGTAAGAAAATCAGTCTTACGAAAGTCTTGAAAGAATCTGCGTTCTTTCGGCGACGAACGTTACACACGAGCTTTGAGCTATTTCAGTTGAGATTCGTTGTTGCTTGAGGAGCATGTTACTCGGTAAAATTTCTGCAATGTCTACTACGATCGAAAGCAACAGTTAACGCGATTGGTAAAAAAATGACAAGAGTAAAAGGTGACAAGGTGATTAGTTTCTGACTAGATCAACTATCGTTTGCAGATATTAATATTTAAAAGTATTGGTCAATCCATTCTTCAAAAATTTTATATCGGACAGAAATATATGTAATGTAACCGTATCGTGTGCACGTATCGTGAGTTGTGAAATAAAATATTACTCAATCGCACACAGCCTGCATGCAACGATCGAATCGGTGGTGTCGGGGAACCCGATAGAAGAACGAATGCGGAACGCAGTTGCGAAAAATAACAGCGGCCACGGTTCTAGAATCAAAGAACGAATTAGTGCAGGCCAGTGTGACCAAAAATAAATACTCTCGGCGTGCATCGAGGAGAGACACGTTGTTTGAGATCGTGGCAATTAGTAGTTACTCGAGCAATGATCGATTTAACCGAGTAAACGTTTCGTCCAGTTGTGTTCCATCGTTTCGTCATCGTTATGTAAATTAATTAAAGTTCACGATAGCTTTTCATTCGTACGCAACGTTTAATCGTCAATGTCAATTGCACGAACGTTCAAAGCCGACTGTCCATCGTTCTCTTTCACTTGAGAGAAGCGAGATCCCCACGAATACGGGACGGGACGTCGTTCTCCACGATTCGCTGGTGCTCCAAGGACTTTCCCGTACGATTAAGTCTTTGGTCTCGAATGGGTCGCCCGCCGGCAAACGAGTCGCAGCGGTCTGAGCAAATTGTCGTTTGGCACGCACTCCTACACGCGATCAATTCATTCAACCTCGGTTGGTCATTCACTCGTTACGCACACGCACGTACGGATATAATATCTCGTTGCGCCATAGATAAAGAAGAGAATGGCGAAAGGCGTGGAACGTCTGTTTCGACGTTTCATTTAACGGGAGAACTTTTGATTAACAACGCGATCGAATTATACTTCCTAACAAGTGCATTTAATGCCTCGTTTGTTTTCAACTTCTCTTCGTTATCTACGAGCGATTCATCTGCCGATACTCCCGTATAGCAACGAATATAATTTAATTTTCATCTATAATCGACAGAGAGAAAAAGGGAAACGGACGCGCGTACTCGCGCGTCGCCAAGTCCTATCTTTCAATTTTTTTTGTTTTTTTTTTCTTTTTTTTTTCTTTTTTGTTCTCTGCTTTTCACTTTTAACTTTAAATCTAACCACGTCGAAACATCCGACGAGACACCAGAGATAGAAGGATCCTTTTCTTTTTTTTCCTTTTTTCGTTTCATTTATCTAACTCTTTGGACCATGGGATCAAGAGAGTGGGAAGAACAAAGAGATATCTTGGCCTACCATGGGCAAATAACGGGAAGTCAGTGGGAGAGGCACACGGAGGAAGAGAGCGGATAGAGTGAATTAAACGGCGATGGAATAGTCGGAGGAGGGGTTATTTTGAGTGCTCGGCCTTGACCAGAGGGAGCTCCTCAGGCCGAGTTTCAGCTTTTTCAAGGAGTCGATATCGCACTCGGCTTCGCTGAGCTCCGGCCTGTCCGATCGATCGCCATTCCCTGGCACTACGTTTCCCTGATTGCCTCCGACGAATGTG